TGCTGAACGTGCAGAGCGGAGTTAGTGAAGAAATTACCTTTTCAAGAAAATGAGGATGAGTGACTAAACCTGTCTGAGAACCTTCTAGAGTAGATTTGCTGTCAGATACAGTTTTCTACTGATTGCTCTATGGGATGCTCTTTTTTTCTCCATTCTCCCACCAGTATTGTCAATCCCTGCTGGGATGGTTTTGTTGCAAGAGCTTTTGGCAGTGGGTGGATGCCTCTTAAAATCATAATGAAAAAGTAAGCTAGTCATTATTCTTTGTGGAAATCATGATTAGCAAGTCAATTACTAATTTCTGGCCATATGTCATCCCTCCCATTTTACTCCTAAGTTCTGTAGGGACTGAGCTGTCAGCTGTCTCATCTGAGAACTGGGAAAGGGAATGTTGCATATTGGATGAAGAGAGATGAGCCCAAAAGAGGGTTGTACTTGCTTTAAGAAAAGTTTAAGAAATCCTATTCCATAATCACTGCATCCAAGTCTAACAATATTTCTTAACATTTGATACCTCTGTACCTGTTCCGTAAGTAAAGGAAAGAAAACATTTAAAAAATCTGTTAATTGTCTTGATAATAGAAGCATGCATTTTTGTTTTGTTGGGTTTTTTTAACGGTGAGTCTTCTTCAGATGGATCAATTCTGATAGATGTGCTGATCACCTATGGTTACAACTTCAGTGCTGACTATTAAATGTATTGAGACATCAGCATAGGTGAGAAGGGTAGGAATCTTCAAAGACATTTCCAGTGGTCATGGAGTAAAACAAAATAGCACTGAATGCACTTGGGAGAGGATGCCAAGAAACATATAGGACTTAGTTTTCAGGCTGGTTTTGCTTTGTCGTTACAAAATCCTTTTTCCTTCTGTAAACACTGTATTTCTTGGAGGTAAAAATATCCTACAGCTCTTTCTCAGAAAGAAAGAGTTTTTAATTTATCTTCACTTGAATGTTATTATGTTGCTTTTACCTTGCTTAGATCAGTATCTGTTAAACAGATTTGATCAGCCTAAAGCAAAAGGAACTTGTAGTTTTTGCTGTGTTTGTAACAAAAAAAAAGTCAAATACTTTTGCACTGCTGAAAATATTTATATATACACTGTAGTAGAAGCCAAATGTCTCAATTAACTCTAAATTGTTAATATTGTTAACATTAATTGTTAATATTGTTAATATTACTTCTTTCTTTAGGAAAAAAGATGTAACTGTTAACATTAAAATTAATCTTCTAGCTGTTAGTGATTTACATTCACCTTTAATCATCAAGTGTTTATGAGGTAAATATTTTTTTTTATATACATATATATGTGCTTCTTTAGGTGCAAGTGTTTGGATTGTATTCAGTGGATGAGTTTCATGAAACGTTTGACTGTCCTATTAAAGTAAGTGCTTGTTTTAATCTTTAGTAATTGTGTTGTTGTCGTCTTTAATAACACAAAGGTCACACTGAATCTAAATGAGAAGAATACTGCTTCCTTGTAATGCTGTTCAAGTCACTAGAAGATAGTTACCTATCTCAATATAAAAGCCTTTGATCTGGTTAAGGAGGAAGAAAGCCAATCTTGTTTTTTATAAAAAGTATTACTGAGCTTTTCAAACACAAAAGGCAAATTGAAAGAGAAACTGTCCTATTTCAGCTGTTAACCTCTCTCAGCATATTTCTTTCTTTGTAGAGTTGCAATACAAATTCTGAGGGTTCTGCTAACTGCAAGGTCAATCTTTTGCAACCAATTCATATCTGTTAAACCTACCTCAGGATAAGGCAATGGGTGGTGATGCTGAGGCACCCTGTCTGAAGGGAAAACTGCATTTACACTCTTCTTGAGCTGCCTGGCTGTTGAAAAAGCACCTCTAGTAGCTGTTTTTAACAAGAAACATTTCTTGCAGTAGGAAAGATGGTGTGGGCAAATGCGTTTTTCTGCTTGGAGTCTTGCACACTGCAGCTACTCTTGGGGTGGGGGGAGGGAATGAGGTCATTAAGTTTTCACACACATCAATGAGATTCACTTGGCTCTGAGGGCTTTACCACTCTTACAGCTGGATCTCCCACACTTGACATGTAATATATAAGGCAAAGAGACTGTTTAAGGTGCTCTGAGGCTGAGGCTATGCTAGGTTGTCCTGCAATGGGGCTAAGGTGTGTGTACCCTCTAGGTAGGTCCCAAACAAGACTTAATTGGAGTAACCCTTGCTGGTGGCAGTCCTGTGCTGCATGATGTTAATTCTGCTGCCTGCTGTGCAAAAAAAGTAGTTGTTCAGTGTAAGGTGGCCCTTAGTGACAGGTGTGTGACTTGTCACATGCCATATAATATGGAGAGTTTTCTTATTTTCTAGGAAAAACAGTTATATCTGAAGCAACTTGGCTTCTACTTCAGAGAAAGAATTTGGCTGAAATACATGATACTTGGCAAAGGGTTAGGCAGTTTAAAAAGTGTCGTGGTACTCCCTATAAACTTTTTTCTTTTTGTTTTTGTTCTTTCCGCCCCTCCATCAGATTGTTGCTGTTCATCCTCATTTTGTAAGATCCCACTTCAAGCAATTTGTAACAGGAGGGAAAAAGGTAAGCAGTCATAGTGTAACAAACTTAGGCAATCTTTAAACAGCTTCTAAAATATCTCAGAAAGCTGTATATGTGATTTATTTTTTAACACCTAGAGCAAAGAATTCTGCTTTTTCCTTCTCTTTCTGTATTGTATTACAAAACATTCTTAATTAAGACTAATTCCAGAAGGGGAAGGAGTTCACTTTTTATGTTAAAAAACATGTTGCAACAAGTTGAGCTTCACAGTAGGAATACTTCTGTCTACATAGTCTAGAAAAAATGTCATTTACGCTTTCCAGATTTTTTACATTAATTTTAATTTGTTGAAGTGGTGGGAGCAGAAGGTAGACCTTAATACTGATATTTTACAATGCACGTTGGTCTTGGTGTTTGGGATTTTTCTTTTGCTTTACCTGTGGGGGATTTTGTTTGGGGGCTCTTTGCTTTTTTTTTTTCTTTAGGTAAGCAAACTCAGGTATATTCATCAGATCTTGTTCATGGTGTGAGTGTTTTTGTTTGTTTGTTTTTAGAGTAATTCAGAGGAGCTCTTGTTAGAGCTCCCACTTTTAAAAGTATTTATATCTGCGTAGTTAATGTCTTCTACTTGGGGAAGTCGTTATTTTAAATGTGCATTACATATCTTATTCGTGTATGGTGCAACTCTGACTTCCAGATTACAGCTGTTTCCAGTTCCTACAAGTGTCCTGCATCACATTGCATATTTTCTGTCAAAATATGACAAGTTTACTTAGGAACAGTTTCTTGACTTCATGGAATTTTCCTATTGCCTTGGCTTATGAATTAAGGATGAACAGTCTTCACTTATAGATGCATCAAACCAAATGCCATGGTTTTCCCTTACTAGAATGTAAGAAATACAAACTTCTAGTGCTGAGTACAACTTAGTTATCAGTAACAGATCAATATGCTTCAAAGCACAGCTGTGTTTTATTCTGCTTTTTAAGTGGTGTGTTTGCTTCACAGCTATTTCTGGCTGGTCAGTGTTGGTGTTGTCCTTAAAATAATGCACAGTCAGTGTATGTCTTTGTCAGCCACCAGTTTGTGAAGCTTTTTAGTACTGTATGGGTATGGAAGGAGAGAGGCATTAATAGAACAGGGCTCCGGCAGGTGGTAAAAGAGCTTGCGTTCACCTGATGCCGAACAGAAAAAAAAATTAGGGAGTTAACACATTCTCTTTGCTTATCTTTGATTACTTGACAGGTTGTTTTATATTCTATCCTCTAGGGAATGTTATACTTGTTCTTAATGCATTCATTTTTTGTTGAGGAACTTTCCTCTTCAGGAAAACTTTAATTGACATCTTAGCATAATGTATTTAGCATTGAAATACATGTCCCTCAACACCTGTGATTTGGTTTTATTGATACCTAAAACCAAAAAATAAAACCTCTTAAACTTGTAGCAGAAACTCTTCCCCTTTTCTCCATTGCTTCAAAAGGGGCATATGTGCTTGCATAAAGGCAACAGCAAAATGCTCTGTGAAAATTCAGAAAGCTGAATTCCACCTACTTATTTATCAAAGATTTTTTTTTTCCTCTTTCTGAAAAGAATAAATCCTTGGAAAACATCCCTGCTTTTTATTTACACCTCTCTGTAAGTTTAGGGCCAAAGAGCAGGGCAACAGGCAACAGGAAGTTGGTCCATAAAAGTGAGAAGTGGGCTGAAGCATACCGCAGCGTAGGCTGTGGACCTGATGTCTCTCTCCCTGTGTCTGAAGGTTGTGTAGTTGAGTGAGTCCCTCTGGAGACGGGGACAAGACCTCCTGCTGCTGCTGGCTTCTCTGCACTTTTTGCCTTGGTGTGGACACAGTGACTTCATGTCTGATAGCTAGCAGTGGTGGGAAGCATGCTGCCTGTCTTCCCCACTCGCACCAAGGCAGGGATAGCAGTAAGGATAGAGGTAAGGCTATCCTCATGTTGGATCGAGCTTAAGCAAAAGTTTTGCTTAAAGCTATGCTTCATGCCTGACCTGCATTTGAAAACATGGTGTGAAGTGTGTGAACTCTCTGTCGAAAGGGTTGTGGGGTCCGTCTTTGCTTTCTGTTGTTCTGGGATATGGTGGCATTTTAAAATTTGGTGTTGTGGTGTTTTATTTTTTCTTTAATATTTTGCTGATTTAATTTGAGGAGATAAAAGGACCCAGAAGGAAATTTGTTCACTCCCTCAAACCCCTTTAGTTGCATTGGGAACATTGTTGTCTCAGAATATGAGCAGTGTGTTCACATTTCCTCCTTGAATTTCATGCTGATTTTGGTTTACAGTGAAAGAAAATAAAGAGTCCAAACAAAACATTCACACGGGAAGCAAGAACTTGACTCCCTGACCTTAATACTGTTTTGTCTCATCTCAGAAAAACATCTTAAGATCTGCTTCAATTTATTAATTTTATAGCCAGGCATCTGCCTCAGTAGGATCTTTACTGAAGGGGGAGTGCTCTACCTGTAAATTAGCCCCTCCTCAATTTTTTTGACAAATACACAGTTCAAAGACCCACTGCAAAACCTGCAAATGTTCGAGGTAAGCAACTGAGTCTTAAACAATAATAACTAAATGTGAAGGGGGAAAAAAGGCTAAGAGATGTGCTTCAAGGATGTACAGTGCAGGTCCTTGGTTCTCAGCAAAGGTGGATGTTTGAAACTTGGGTGAATCGTTGTGTGATGCTGAGATTTGTCACATCTTAGAAACTCAGCCTGACCAAAAGCTATCTTGAGAGCCATGCTCCCCAGGGTAACTGTTTAAATCATTGCAGGTTGTTGGAAGCTTAGCTCTACTGTGCATATGTTTATACAGTTGCTTAACAAGGCCTGTACTAGAGTCCTTTAAGAGCAGTTTTTCTCTGAATTGCATTATGAACTAATTAACCATTTTGTTTGCTTACTAAAGCACTAGATTTTAAAAGTAAAGAACTTTTATCAAGCATAGGATAAAATCATTGCCTTCTATTTTGGAAAAACTTTTTTCAGCCTTTTTTTTTCAAAGAATGAATGTTAGCTGTACCTAGAAGCAAAGCAGGTGCTGTGAAAATATTGGCACAATGGCAGTACCATACTAATACAATAGGTACCATACTAAACAGAGGCAGCTCCCTGCTTCTTTGCCTCCTTGTCTCTACAATTAAAGCACTGTTGTGATGACTTGACAGGTGATGGTAACTCTAAATAATACTGCAGTATATTGTAAATAATGGGGCATCCCTGCCCAGAGCGGACAGTAGAGTTTCAAGCAAGTGAAGAGACAAATACTGTGCTTTAGAAGGCCGTATCCATCAACCTTTTAAAAAGAGGGTCCAATCTTAAAAAATAACAGAGTAAAAACCAATTAAATGAGCTTAGTAAGGCCTTGGTAGAGGCACTGAGGAGACTCCCTGTTTCATGTTTCAATTAACATCAGTAACTGAACACAAAGGTTTTTGTAGTAAAATTCTTAGGGGACTGAATCCTCTGGATTGATCAAGTCACTCTGAATGTGTGCTGATGAAGTATTTTGTGGGATTCTCTATCCAGGATGGTAGTGGGGATGCAGCATAATTAAGCAAGATCATGGAGCAGATCCTTCTGAAGGCTCTGCTGTGGCACATGGAAAATGTGGAGGTGATTGGTGGCAACCAATCCTGCCTGACCAATCTGGTGGCTTTTTATGATGGAGTAATAGAATCAATCAACAAGGGAAGAGCAACTGATGTCATCTACCTGGACTTGTGCACGGCTTTTTACACTGTCCCAGATGACATCCTGGTCTCCAAGTTGGAAAGACATGGACTTGACAGACGGGCCACTCTGTGGATAAGGAACTGGCTGGAAGATCACACTCAAAGAGTTGTGGTCAATGGCTCAATGTCCAATTGGAGACCAGTGACAAGTGGTGTCCCTCAGGGAGCAGTACTGGGACTGTTTGTCAGCGACATGGACAGTGGCATCAAGTGCACCCTCAGCAAATGTTGATACCCTGGAGAGAAGGGATGCCATCCAGAGAGACCTTGACAGGCTTGAGAGGTGGGCCCAGGCCAACCTTATGAAGTTTAACAAGGCTAAGTGTAAGGTCCTGCACCTGGGTCAAGGCAATCCCAAGCACAGACACAGGCTGGGCAATGAGTGGATTGAGAGCAGTCCTGGGGAGAAAGATTTGGGCATGCTGATGGATAATAAGATCAACATGAGCCAACAGTGTGCGCTTGCAGCCCAGAAAGCCAACCATTCTACCCCTCTACTCTGCCCTTATGAGACCCCACCTGGAATACTGCATCCAGCTCTGGAGCCCCAAACACAAGAAAGACATAAAGCTGTTGGAGCGATTCCAGAGGAGGGCTACCAAGATAGTCAGAGGGCTGGAGCACCTCTCCTACGAGGACAGGCTGAGAAAGTTAGGCTTGTTCAGCCTGGAAAAGGGAAGGCTTCAGGGAGATCTTATAGTGGCCTTTCAGTACCTGAAGGGGGCCTGTGAGAAGGCTGGGGAGGGACTTTTTACAAGGGCCTGTAGTGATAGGACGAGGGGTAATGGGTGGAAGCTGCAAGAGCGCAAGTTTAGACTAAATATAAGGAAGAAGTTCTTTACCCTGAGGGTGGTGAGGCACTGGAACAGGTTGCCCAGGGAGGCTGTGGATGCTCCATCTCTGGAGGCGTTCGAGGCCAGGGTGGATGGAGCACTGAGCAACCTGATCTAGTAGGAGATGTCCCTGCCATGGCAGGGGGAATTAGAATTAGATGATCTTTGAGGTCCCTTACAACCCAAATCGTTCTGTGATTCTATGAAATGAATTCTGAAGCCAGTGTGAGAGTAGGATATTCAGTATCTTAAAGGATTGGGCTTTTTCATTTGCCTAGGACATGCATTTTGTATAATAAATGTTGACCTGAGTATGCAATCTGAAACATGTTAAGGACTAGGGAATCAATAAAAAACTGAAGTTTACCCTGTGACTGTCAGTAGTCTCATTTTTATATCTCTCTATGTCTATATCTGCATATTACGCTTATATTAGATATTTGGTGGAAACAGAGA